CTGGGAGCCATACAAAACTTTGAAGAAGACGACAATAACAGTCGGGAGTCGCTGTCTCTGACTGAGTACTCATATTAATATTTTTATTGCAAGTGTAGTGATCTGACATTCAACAGTAATAACCCAAGGGAATCAAGAAAATTTAACAAGTGAAAGTAACTACTAAAACAACAGTTAACTATGTTAATTCGTAATCCCTTACTACTGAAAATAATTCTATTTTGTTTAACATAGCTTTAAGTTTTTTAGTTACAAATGATTTTTATAGGATAACTGAACAGTTTCCTAACAGCTGACATCTGTATATACCAAAAGAAATTACTTGCTAATCCATCTTGAATCCTACTTCCAGTTTTACTGCAGATTATTTTGATGTCATTAAGCTTACTTCTGCCTCAGTAAAAGAGGAGATAAGTATTTCTCATTGCCTAGGTATATGTTTGTGCAGAGTTTTAAAGATGTGAGATACTTACATCAGGTAGTCCTCATTAGTTGTACCTTTTGGTTTCTAAATGACTTTGTTTACATTTTGTTTCTAACCATGCTACTCTTTATTTTCAGTATCTATGATGAAGCTGCTGAAAGTCTGCATCAGTTAGCTGATAAACTGCCTGCCCCAGGTAATCTCTCTTTAAAAAGCAATCCCATTGGAGATTGTCTTCTTAGTTATTACTCTAAAAACTCGTGTGGTAAAATCATAGTCAAATGAAATAGTTCAGAGGATGTTTGTTAGCTGAATTAAGCTCTTGCAGGTAGTTAAAGAACTTGAGCATGGTTTGCATTGCAAATCAGCTTATGGACTAGTTTGCTCCTTGTTTCTTTGGAGGGCTCTATTTCAGTAGAGCTTAAGGTGTATATTTATATAATTAATTTTTCCACCTCCGCCCTCATCACCTACACAGAAGTAGCTCTGCAGCGTTTAACATCCTGCTTTGCAGAGGCTGCTGAGCTTTTTGGTCTGGAAGTCAGCTTGAAGAAGACAGAAGTTTTATATCAGCCTGCACCTCAGGAAGCCTTCCATCATCCCCATATCACCATTGGTGAAACAGCACTCAAATCAGTCCAACAGTTTAATTACCTGGGAAGCATCATCTCCTCAGACGGTAAGATTGATGCTGAAATTGACAACAGGTTAGCAAAGGCATACAGAGCTTTTGGTAAACTCCATAAAAGAGTGTGGCAAAACAAACACCTGAAGAAAAGTACTAAGATCAGTGTTTACAGAGCCATCGTGCTGTCTACTCTTTTATATGGATCTGAATCCTGGGTCATTTACCGGCACCACTTGCGTCTCTTAGAACGCTTCCATCAGCGCTGCCTCCGTACAATCCTCAACATCCACTGGACTGACTATGTCACCAACACATCTGTCCTTGAACAGGCAGCAGTCCCAAGCATTGAGGCCATGCTGCTGAGAACTCAGCTGCGCTGGGCAGGGCACGTCTCCAGGATGCAGGACCATCGCCTCCCTAAGATCGTGCTCTGTGGGGAACTTGCCACTGGCTGCCGCAAGAGAGGAGGCCCGAAGAGGAGATACAAGGACTGCCTGAAACAATCCCTCAGCCTTGGCCATATCGATCACCACCATTGGTCTACCCTGGCCTCTAATTGGGAGGCCTGGAGACACACCATCTATAACACTGCTGCTGCTGCTTTTGAGAACACACGCAGGATCACTCTCGAGGAGAAAAGACAATGCAGAAAGAATCGCGTCTCGTCGATATCACCTGGGGAGTCTTTCTGCTGTACGTTCTGCAACCGGACTTGTCTATCTCGCATTGGCCTTTTTAGCCATCAGCGCGCTTGTAGCAAGCGTGGGTAGAGCCCTTCTCAAATCTTCGTTTGTGAAGCCTAGCCATGAATTTTTCCACCTGAAATGACATCAAAGTTTTAATAGACAATAAGCAACACAAAACTCAACAGGAAGTTTTTTATGAAAATAAAGGAAGATGTTGTTTTCAGGCTTACATCTGAGTTGCCAGCTGACTGCTTGTGGGGGGAAGTCAAGAAACTGAGAAGGAAAATATATCAGAACTGTTGGATTTAGACTTTGCAAACTGGAAATAAGTATCACCTTGCAGGTTAGAGTTACATGATGTTGCAGTGGTTGATTTGGGATAGCAAAGGAATGTAGGAAGAATGAGAATCATAGAATCATTAAGGTTGGAAAAGACCTCTGAGATCATTGAGTCTAACCTTTGAGTAAACACCACCTTGTCAACTAGACCATGTCACTAAGAGGCATGTCCAGTCTTTCCTTAAACACCTCCAAGGATGGTGACTTTTCCACCTCCATGGACAGTCCATTCCAATATCTAATCACCTTCTCTGTGAAGAAATTCTTCCCAATGTCCAACTTAAACCTTCCCTGCTACAGCTTAAGACTATGTCCTCTTGTCCTGTCACTAGTTGCCTGGGAGAAGTTACTTAGTGCCAAGTGCCCCCTGGCTACAACCTCCTTTCAGGTAGTTGCAGACAGTGAGCCAGTCTCCTCTGAGCCTCCTCTGGGCTAAAGAACCCCAGCTCCCTCAGCTGCTCCTTGTAGGACTTGTGCTCCAGGCTCTTCAACAGTTTCACTGCCCATCTCTGGACTCACTCCAGCACCTCAATGTGGCCTCCTGAACTGAGGGGCCCAGCTGGACACAGGATTTGAGGTGTGACCTCTCAGTGCTGTGAGAAATAGCAGATTAGAGTGCTAAAAGGAGGGAAGTGAGATAGTATGGGGGCAACTCTCATCTGTCAGTGCTGAGTGAGAGAGGAGAAAGGTATAGAACCATTGTCACTGAGGGAATGGCAAAATGTTTTGTGTTCATCTAAGAGGAGCAGCAAGAGATGAGCTAAAAATGCGTGGAAAGTGTTTTAGATCTTGCCAGAGTTACTTGAAGCTGATATTTTAGCCCATTTTGATGCAATCAGTGATAAGCAGAACTTCTCTATCTTTAAATGATTGAATAATTTACGGAGCCATGGTACTTTGAGTAATCTATAACTGTTTTTTTAGGCAGAGCAGTGGTTGATGTAATACTGCAGGCTGTTGAACGAGATG